TGAAGGGTATAAGTTACATCATATTAACAGAAAAAACAAAAGAGGAGGTGGAGTGGCTATATTTATAGACAATGAAATCAAATGCAAATTGATAAGCGAAATGTCAATAATGGTGGAAGATATGTTGGAAATGATAACAATAGAAATAATAAAAAATAATACAAAGAACATCATAATAAGTTGTGTATATCGATCGCCATCCTCAAATATTGAGCTATTCACTGATAAACTATTGGAGTTATTAGAAAAAAGTAGAAATAAAAAATTTTTTCTATGTGGAGACTTCAATATTGACCTAGGAAATATCACTGATTCAAACAACATAAGTATATTCATAAATTCAATGTATAGTCTGAATCTTTGTCCATTAATATCAAATCCTACAAGAATTACAACTCAAAGTGCTACTATAATTGATAATATTTTCACAAATGTAACAGACGGTGATATGCTGAGTGGTATCTTGAAGACTGATCTTAGTGATCACCTACCAGTCTTCACTATTTACAAGAAAGAAAATGGTATAATTAAAACAACTACAAGAAAAAACAAAAAAATTAACACGTCAAAAAAAGCATTAGACAAATTAAAAGCTGAGTTGGAACATCAAAAATGGGATAATGTGTACATAAATGATGTGAATAAATCTTATGATGAATTTATGACAATTCTAGAGGTCATCTATTATAAACATTGTATGCAAAAGAATTACACTAAGAAAAACAAAGTGGATTATCCATGGATGACCAAAGGATTAAGAAATGCATGTAAAAAAAAGAATCATTTGTATTCGTGTTTTTTGAAATCAAGGACCAAGGAGGCTGAAGAGAAATACAAAAAATACAAAAACAAATTAGTTAGTATCATAAGGAAACACAAGAGGGAATACTATAGTAAATCATTGCATGAATGTAAAGGTGATATGCGCACAACATGGAGAGTAATGAATACTGTTTTAAAAAAGCATAAAGAGAGAACGGGACTTTCACAACATTTTGTGGAAAACGATGTGGAAATCTATGAAAATGATGAGATTGTCAATGGATTTAATAATTATTTTGCAAATGTTGGGTCTTGTCTAGCAGCTTCGATTCCTAAAGTGGAAAAAAATTTAAGTTATTTAAGAAATGGTTGTGGTGACAGTATGTTCTTGAGTGGAACAGATAAGGAGGAAATAATGAAAGTTGTCAAAAAATTTGCTGATAAAAGATCAAAGGATTGTGAAAATATGGATATGGTGGTTGTAAAGGAAATAATGAGTTATGTGATTGAGCCATTTACATACATCTGTAATTTATCATTTTCAAAAGGAATTTTCCCAGATAGAATGAAGGTTGCTAAGGTAGTTCCTCTTTTTAAAAATGGTGACAAATGTACATTTAGTAATTATAGGCCTATATCTCTATTACCACAGTTCTCTAAAATTCTTGAAAAATTGTTTATGATTAGATTAGATACATTTCTTGAGAAAAATAATATTTTAAGTAATAATCAATATGGTTTTAGGTCAAACTGTTCAACATCTTTGGCTCTCATGGAGTTGATAGAACAAATTACTACAGCGGTTGATCAAAAACAACATTGCATAAATATATTTGTGGACTTAAAAAAAGCATTTGACACAATCGATCACACCATTCTGCTTGATAAATTGAATCATTATGGTATTAGAGGTCCTGCTCTGCAGTGGATAAGCAGTTATTTGAGAGACAGAAGACAGTTTGTTCAAATAGATGAAGTAAAATCTAATTTGTGCAGAACTCCATGTGGTGTACCACAAGGTTCAATACTTGGACCTAAATTGTTTATATTATATGTAAATGACTTAATTGAAGTATCTGATATCTTCAAATGTGTTTTGTTTGCTGATGACACTACTTTTTTCTGTCTGGGTAAAGATATGGAACAATTAATTGAGTTGATAAACAAGGAATTTGTAAAAATACAGGATTGGTTTAAATCAAATAAGTTATCATTGAATATTGATAAAACTAATTTTATGGTATTTAGTAAAAAAAAGATAACTTTGGATTTTTGTTTCAAAATTGATGGCATTAAAATATGTAGAGTAAATGAAGTAAAGTTTCTGGGCGTAATCATTGATGATAAACTATCATGGAAACAACATATAAATTTTGTAAAAACTAAAATATCAAAGTCCAGTGCAGTATTATATAGAGTAAGGGACTTGTTAAATAATGAAGCTTTACATTTACTTTATAATACAATTGTAGTCCCACATTTTACTTATTGTGCCAATGTTTGGGGTACAGCATGTAAATCCACAACAAGGCCTATATTTATTCTGCAAAAAAGAGCAGTAAGAATTATAACAAGAAAGAGTTATTGTCATCCTTCTAATGTTCTGTTCAGTCAATTGAAATTACTTAAGTTTTATGATTTGGTGGATTATAATATTCTTTTACTTATGTTTAAGGCCCATAATTGTTTGCTGCCATCAAACATTCAAACATATTTTGTAAAAAGGACGAGTGGTTATAATCTAAAGGGATTAAAAACCTAAGTACAGAACCAGTTTGAAGGGACGCTCTACGACCAAACATGGAATAGGTTTATGGAATAATTTGGAGGATGATGCAAAAATGGAGAAGTCAATTTTTACATTTAAGAAAAAGATAAAAACTATTTTGTTGGAAAAATATAAACAACTGTTTGTCTAATTATTTTAAATGTAAAATCTGTTTGAGTTATCTACGTTGTTGCAATATTGTGATTGACTTTTTGTTTGAATTGATAGTTAAATTGATCTGTTAAAGAAGGAGCAGATTTGATAAGAAATTTTTTCTTCTTCTGCTTCCTTTCATTTTATGTTTATTTTTTTAAAATTATCTAAATTGTATTTGAGTGTTTTTTTAATGGAACTGAAATGAATGAAATAAATAAATAAATAAAATAAATAAATAAATTTATCCAAATCCTCCTCCACTGGTATAATCACTCCCTTCAGTACTTTATTTTCTCCAACATTGTGTTTCTCTATCACCACCTTTTTGCAGATATTATCAACTTGTAATACTTTGTTTCTTCAGTTTTGCAGATCATCAGTAAGTTTCCATCCCTCAACACCCTTTCCACGCTTTCCATCCACGCTTTCCACTTTCAAAAACCTATAATGCAACTTTAAAACAGATTCCCAGCCGGTTTTCACACCTGATGGGAACAGAGGGGCCTCGTCTGTGAATTAGAGGAACAAAAGACTCTTACTGTTAAGGTGTTTAGGTGTGAATTGCCAATCTACATATGTGTGTGTGTCTTATCCCACTCAGCCTTATAACCTGAACCTCTCACTCTCTGCTCTTTGAATAGAGAAAGCTCCTCGGATGAGGAGCGAAACGTCTTCTGTTACAAATAAAGTCCAGTTGTTTTTGTATTGAACGCTTTTTGAATTCATCCCTCAACACTTTCACCATTTATACCTCTCCTATTTTCTTTTTTATTTCTTTAGATATTATAATTGGGCTTAAGTATCCCTGGTTTTCCTCTCTCTTAAACTTGAGAATTATTTTAAATTCCTCCCTCACGACCTTCCTACGAATCGTTCTTTCTTCATCTGAACTATTTTCCTCTAATTCTTTTATTTCCTTGACTATCTGACACCCTCCCACCTTCCTTCATATCTCCGCTGCTTTTTTAGAGGGGGCTGTGGCTGAGTGGTTAGAGCAGTCGTCCTCAATGCGAGAGTTGGGGGTTCGAATCCACCAGCAGTCACATGCTGAAGTGTCCCTGGGCAAGACACTGAACCCCTCGTTGCCTCTGATGTGTGTCCCATCAGTGTATGAATGTGATCTAAAGCTGTGATTAGTCTCTTTAGAATAATTTGTTTAATTAGCTTTGTATAGATCTAGTATAGAGCTGTATGAATGGGTAAATGAGGACACAGATTGTTGTGTAAAGAGCTTTGAGTATCTTGAAACAAGATAGAAAGGAGCTATATAAGTACAGTCCATTTAACATTTCTCGACACCGTCCTCTTCCTCTTCTTACTTGCGTCCAATCCTCTAACATCCTGTCCTTGTCATCTCCTACCTGGTTTGTCATTCTGACCGAGTCACATTCCAGCTTATGCCAACCGTCCAGTCCAAAATCCACAATTATCCATCAAAAAGTTTGTCCTTCCAAGTTTGAAATTTGCACCATGAGCCGCACCATCCACCCTGCTCAGTGCTCTGAAAGACTGCTAAACTCCAAAGGAGAAACTAATCAGGAGTAATGAGGAGACACACTAGGGAGTACAGATAAGGAAGGCCCACCAGATGGCACCATCTTTACAGGGTGAGGTTTTTTTGTGTGTTTGCTGATTTAAAATGTTAAAAATGTAATAAACAGAATTAAACACAATCTTTCCTACATGCAACATTTTTAAAGGGGAGCTTTTTATTGTTGCATTTGCATCCCCTGTCCACACAGTCTGAGCATCCATCCATCCATCCATCCATCATCTTTACCTGCTTCTTCCTTTTCGGGTCGCAGGAACTTTGGTGCTGAAATAGTTAATAAGAGGAAACTGGACACCGCAGAAAGAGGTCAGAGAAGGCAAGCCTGTGATCGGAAGGTCACTGGTTCAAATCCCCCAACTTTTAAAACAACATTTGGGTGGGAAAATGAAACATCCACACCTGCCTCCACCCTCATTTGCCCCATTCTGGGCCCCTTGAGCAAGACCCTTAACCCCCCACCATCTGCTCCCCCGGGCACCCTAGATAGCAGCTCTCTGCTCCACACAGAGGGCTGTGGTAGCTCGGTGGTGTGTGGTTGAGTCAGGAAGGACATCCTGCGTATAAACAATCACCAAGTCTTGGTGCAAGTTAGTTCACTGTGGCGACCCCTGAGTATTTTTATTGGTTTTATTTTGTGCAAATTTGATTTAACTTTGTCACTGAAGAGGATACTTTTTTTTGGTTGGGGGTCAGAAAGGCCAATTTGTGCTGATCGTGACTGATTTATGGCACCAATAAAAGAGTAAAACATCAAATGGGGTGAATTCTTTTTATGGACACTATACAGGAAGTGCTATAGAACCACATTCAAAACTGAACATTTCTCAGTTTTTGAAAACAACAGATTTGACTGATGTCTCATTCCACCTCAGTCCATCTTGTTGTAGCCTCCTGGACCTTCCAGTGAGGTCCAGTTCTTATCGTTGCTGACTAGTCTCAGTGAGGTCCAGGTCAATTCCAGACAGCAGCTCTCCTCCACAGGAGCGGTTCATCAATTCTTTGAGCGCTTCGTTTACGTCGTTGTTGAAGACACTAGAGAAGCTGCAGTTAGGGTACCCTCCACCTCCTCCATCCATCTGGAAAGAACCTACCGCCTCCTGAACCCATCTCAGCTCATTGCTGAGCTCCTGGCGTAGCGCGTCAAAGTGATCTTGCCTCTCCTGGTAGCGCTCACTGACAGCGGTGAGGCTGCCGCTGAATGCCTGCATGTCATTCTGTAGGCTTTTCTTGGAGGCCTCCACCTTTCTGAACTCATAGCGGATCTGTGAGAGCTCATGGCGCACGGCCTCACTCTCCTCCTTGTACCAGGCCTCCTTCTCGTTGTAAATAGAGACCAAGGCATCAATGTCCTCCTGCAGAGTGTCGTGGGCTGCTGCCAGAGAAACAAAAGAGCTCTCTATCTGGTCGATGTCCTCCAACACCTGGGCAAAGCGCTCAAAGTTCACATACGTGTTGTTTGGTGGCATGCTGGAGTGGGACTTGATGGTGTACTCCCTCAGGCGCTTGGTCTTCAGCTGCCGTCGCCCCGGTCTCTTCGGCTCCTGGGCTATTTCCTCTTTGTGTTCGTTGGACTGAAAGATTTAAACAGAGGAGAGTTAGAAATGAGAAAAAAGTGAAGAACTGTAACACCCCCCCCCCCCCCCACACACACACACATGTTAAAGAACATGTTTATTCTGGTTCATGTGGCTCTTCATCTTTTAATTGGGGACTGCCTAGTAAGGTAGCCATTATCCACCTGAAGAGGGTCTTACTGACCCTCTCCTCACTGAAGAGTCTTATCAACTTTACTGCAGCCCAACCCACAACGTGTCCCCCCACAAATGTTATATCGGAACGACCGGCTTGGCACCGTGATGTGTGCTATCACTTTCAATGGCATTTCAGGTTACCATGGCAACATAATTTGCAAACACAGACGCCATTTTTCTCCTTGAAAAACACTCTTCACAGCCTCTAACTGACACAGTGAGGTCACATGACCTAGTGAAGAGGTCTGTGAGCAAAACTCTGATTAACCTTTGGAACCATTTTGGTTCAAGATGGCTGCCACAGCTACCTCAGAAAACTCAAAATTGAAAACAGCTCAGTCATTCTTTGAGATATTGAGCTGAAATATGGCATGGGTGTAGCTGAGAGTGAGTTGTTATACATTCCTGATGCAAATTACAAATCAGAGAAGGCCACCTGAGCTAAAAAGGAAAAATACGATAGCTCAGCTATATTAAAATATACTGAGCTGAAATTTGGTGTGCTGGTAGCTGAGAAAAATGCTCAACACATTCTGAATTCAAATCTAAAATTGCAAGATAGCCCCATACATACTGAATTTTAAAAAATTCAAGATGGCTGCCAAAGCTAATTTCAAATGGCTTTAACTCAGCTATTTTCACACACATAGAGCTGAAATTTGGTGAGGTTATAGCTGCGAACATTCAACACATACTGAATCCAAATCAAAGATCCAAGATGGCTACCATAGCTTAAAAGAAAAAATGACTATAACTCATTGATTTTTTGATCATGCTGAGCTGAAGTTTGGTGTACTGGTAGCTGAGAGCAAACCCAAACACAGAGTGCTGTCAAATCAAGATTTTATAATATCCGTCATGTGGCAGTCCCCGTCAAAGTTTCTCCCAGAACTTTCTAGGACATTAAGCTCTGTTGTTTGTCAGATCTGTTTTTGAGTTTGTTTCTACTACTTCAGTTTAGTTCGCTCTAATTTTTGTTTTCTATTTCCTCTGACACACTAAAAAACTGAAATACAGTTTTTTTTACATACATTTCTGTCAAATGACTTTTGCGTACTTTGTGCTATTTAAGCAGTCGTGAAGCTCAAGCAGGATGAGTGTGTCGTGACTTTTACTTTAACTTCTGTACCATTCTAAATGTTTACCTTTTTAAAATAGAATTCAAAGAAATACACGAATCTCTTGATTCTTCTACAAACATCGTTCATTTTGAAATCTGCTTCATCCTACTTGCTTGTTTTCATTCTTATTATAGGTTTAGGGTTTAGCTAACATTTTGTCAGTTGTAGCTTTTGGCTACTTTTTGTAATTGTAACATTTTTGTTACCAATTTGCTACTTTCTGCTACTGTTTTGCTTCTTTTAGTTATAAGTTTTTGTATATTTATCTTTTATATTCCATTTTGTTATTTATACATTTTATCTACTGATTAGGCTACTGTCTTGTTGCTTTGAGCTACTGTCTAATAGCCTACTTTTACTTTTAGCTGCTGTTCTCTTTTTTTGTCTTTAAGGTACTAATGTGCCATTTTTAGTTTTTTGCTACTGTTCTGCATCTTTCTGCATGTAGCTACAGGTCTGCCCTTTTTAAGTTTAAGCCACAGTTTAGATAGGTTTAGCTACTGTTTAGCTAATTTTAGCTTAGCCTCTGTTTGCTACTTTAATATTTTGCTCATTGTAGTTATTTTTGAGCTACTTTCTTATTTTAATTACAGTCATAGTTCTGCATTTAACCATTAAGCTATTATTCTGCTGAGGAAGTCCTTCCTCCCTGTGGCTATCAAACTATTCAACTCCTCCCCGATTTCTGCACATAGGACAATAAATAAATACAGTTAATTAAAATAAACACTTTAATGTTTCTGTCTGCACTTGATCTGTGTTAGAACTTAACTGTTGGTATTTTTATATTCTGTTATTTTTATTTTCTCTGTTATTTTTTATATCTTGTATGATTCCTTGTGCATGTTCCTTTGTACTGAAACTCTGGCACAACAATTTCCTGCGGGATCAATACTGCTCTGTCTTATCTTCTTATCTTGTTTAGCTTTTGTTCGGCTGCCATGTGCTTTCAGGTACTGTTTTACTACTTTTAGCTTGTGCTCTGTTCACTTTAGCTTCTGTTTTGCTTATTTAAATTTTGGTCAGTTTTAATTTTAGTAATTTAGTCTTTGCTTCTTCAGCAACTTTCATGAAAGCCATTTAGAATTCACATTGTGATTTTGTAGAAAATGTAAAATGATTTCTCTACTTTAGGTTTGTATTAATCCCTTTTACAACAAGAAAACAGATACCAAAGGTCAGACTCACAAAACTTCTTAGTATTAAAGCTTGTTTTAAAATTGTTTATACTGACATTAAAGAAATAAATTAATTCAAATAAAAGTTATTACAAAATAAGCGTGAGTGAAAAATATCCTTTAAAAGATGAGTGGCAGGAATGGTGTCTGTAGGCAAGTCAACACAAAAACAAAACATCAAAGTTCATGCTCAATAATCCAGGTAGAAAAATGTAACCAAGTTAAGTCAGGTCCAGATCTTTAACTTAACTATGGATCAATGTTTTGAGCCACTTTGGCCATGGCTGCCTCAGACGAGTCAGCAGGGGAGAGGGACGACTCCAGAAACCATCAGAGCACCATCAAACTGGTTGACCCACTATGTGAAGGTGCTGGTTATAAGACTGAGTTTGTTGGGGCTCCTCAGACTGATGAAGTCCTTTGGATGAAAGACAAAGCATTTCAACACAAAGAAACCGTCCAGAGGACCTGACTTAACTTTGTTGGACAAAAACAAAGTGATGAAACATCCATCCATCCATCCATTATCTTTTACCCGCTTCTTCTATGTTGGGTCATGGGGGTCTCTGGTGCCCATGTCCAGCAATCACTGTGCGAGGGGCGGGGTACACCCTGGATGGGTCTCCAGTCCATCACAGGGACACATAGAGACAAACGAGACAAACAATCATTCACTCTCTCTCTCACCAAGAGACAATTTAGAGTTACCAGTCAGCCTAACATGCATGTTTTTGGTGTGTGGGAGGAAACTGGAGTACCTGAAGAAAACCCACGCATGCACGGAGAGAACACGCAAATTCCACCCAGAAAGGCCCCCGGACCGGGATTTGAACCAGGGACCTGCTCGCTGAGAGGCAGCAGCTCTACCAGTTGCAGTGATGAAACACTGATCCAAAAAAATGTATCAGAGCATCAAACTCTTCTCTAAAGATGATTCATCATCAGTTGAATCAAAATAATGTAATGCAGCATTTGGTTTCATGACATGGTCATGATGAGGCTCTAAACTCCACCGAGTCACTATTTATTAAACAGAAACTAAGCAACAAGAGAGAAGCTTCCAGGGGAATCTCAGAGTGGAGCAGCTATCAAAAGAAGTCAGCTGAGGTGGTTCAACCATCTGATGAGATGCCTCCATGTTGTCTCCCTCTGGAGTTTTCTAAGAATGTTTAGGGATCCCCAGGAGGAGCTGGAGGGTCTAAGCAGCGGAATATCTAGATTTTCCTCCTAGACAGTTTGATTGGGTTTGGGTTGGTTCGAGCTGGTTGGTGGTTTTAGTCAATTAATCTTCTTCAAGTAATTTCTGTTGTTCAAAACTACATCCAGCCTTCTACAGGATTTTTGAGGTTTAGGATCAGCCGGGAGCTGCTGATTAACTACTCAGAGGCGATCGTCAGTGGGACCACTTCTTTAAAAGCAGGAGTTCTGTCAGTTTGTGGCTCTTGAGCATACATGTGTGTGTTGAATAGAAACTCTCACAAAGAAAAGAACCAAGGTGCTGTAATGGCTCAGTCAAAGTCCAGAACTTCAACCTGACAGAAATGCTGTGGTGGGACCTTCAGTGAGCTAAGCAGAAACATCAATGAACTCCAGTAATGATGGAAAGAAGAGTGGGCCAAATTAATGTACAACCACGTGAAAGAGTGTCCTAGAGAAAACCACTGCAGAGTTATTGCTGCTAAATAAGGTTCTACAAGCAGCTAGATCAGGCACTGGAAAAGGTTTTTCCATTTTGAATACATTTTGTTTAATAAATAATGACGTAGTAGACTCTACTGAGTCTTGAGTTTTGAACCAGTTTGACATGACTGTCGATGAGGAAGAGGGCCGGCACCAAAGGAGGGGGCGTGCCAAAGACACCATCTTAGCACCAACATAACTGGTTTGTTACACTTTGGAGTAAACTGTTGGGGGAAGAATCAGTTTTGTGTTGTGTGTTTCCTTGACTGATGAAACCATCTGGATGGAAGGTGAAACGTTTCAGCAAAAAAATAAACTGTCCAGATGACCTGACTGAAAAATGTTGGACTCTACTGAGTGTTTCTGTCTTGTCTGAATAATTTTAGAACTGGAACAAACCAGATCAGTTGTGTTATGTCCTGATACATAAAACCCCTGACTTAGTGTTGGACTGTATATTCCTCATGACTGTAAATGAGTTCTGTGAGTAAAATCAGGTGAACTGACTGAATAATGTGTATCCTAAATAAAGTTTAAGTTGTTTTGTTTGGGGTTTTTTTGGGGGGGGGGGGGGGGGGTGGCACAGATGTAAGAGAAGGCGATCCTGTGATGGGAAGAGTCAGAGGAATTCTGGTAAAGGTTTATGGATGTTTCTCACCTCCAATGATAAATTAATGTTGAAGTGTGTTTGAGTTCAGAGAGGAGCCTGCAGGCACCTGATAAGGACGGTCTGTGAGTTGGGGAGCCGAGGCCATCATGAACTGTAGTGCTGATAAGTGTGTATAAGAAACTTCTTGTACACTGCCCATGGCAGCTTCTCCTGACGAGGCTTTAAACATAAAACTTTGAACATCTGAATAAGCCTGTTTCATGACGGTCTGCCCTTGCAAGTAAACTGGGTTAAAAATTATTTTACTGTTGTTGTGTGTGGCTCCTTTTAAGTAAGTCAATTATGCAAGGATATTTTTATCCAACAGGAAGGTCACTGCTTCAACTACCTGTAACAACAACATCAAATTAAAGCTGCAAGCAGCATTAGAGGCCCTATCAGCAGAGCACCCGGTCGCCATCGCGAACGCTCTCAGCCAATCCCGCACTCGTTCACCACGGGGCGAATTTCCCGAATCTTCGACATCACCTTCCGTCCATGTCGTTGCTTGTCCAGCTGCAGGTTTTACAAGTATAGGCGAAATCTGACCTTCCAGACAGGAGTTATGGTGACTTCCTGTTTTGTGGCGAATGTTTGACAAGCACTTCCTTTATGCTTTTCAACATGTCATGTGTGGTAATCAACAGTTAGCAAACAAAGTTTCAGTCTAATATCTTACACAGTGCGAAGCTGGAAGTGTTATCCAATAATCAACAGTTTTTTCTCTGAGTAGGTGGGGCTTAAGCGATTTCATGATTCAACAATATCAATGTTTCTATAAGTGCTCACTGATCACTCACATCATATCTGGTACATATTGGATGATCTTTCACTGAGATATAACTGTTGGAATAATCTAGGGGGCACACTAGAGTCATATGTTAAACCACAATATCAATATGTGTAGACGTGGTCACTGATTATGCACCAAAATTCTGGCTCAGATTGGATGATGTGTCACTGAGATCCAACTGTTGGAATAATCTATGGGGCGCACTTGAGTCAAATGTTAAAGAACAATATCAATGTGTCTACAAGTGCTCACTGATCATGTACATAAAATCTGGTACATATTGGATATTTCACTGCGATATAACTGTTGGAATAATCTAGGGGGCACACTGGAGTCAAAAGTTAAACAACAATACCAATGAGTCTAGAAGTGCTCACTAATGAGGTACCCAAAATCTTGCGTAGATTGGATGATATATCACTGAGATATAACAAGGGGGCACACTAAAGTCATATGTTAAACCATAATATCAATGTGTCTGAAAGTCCTCACTGATGACGGACATTAAATCTGCTGCAGTTCGGATGTTGTATCACTGAGCTATAACTCTAGGAAAAATGTAGGTGGCGCTGTGTAGGCTATTGGCCAATTATCATGGATTCCTGTTGAAGGGGTGGATGACAATCAGTCATAGTGTTTTTGGTGCACCTTGGCTTAAATCTGTGCACTTTAGAGCCAAATGTATTGTAACGGCGTCACTTCTGAATTCGCCACGCCGCCACACCCACATCTTCCAGCAAAAATGGTTTGTGCTTTAAAGCAAGTCAGACCAACTTGTTAAATTTCTTCTAACACAGGATCATCCTGATTCAGTCAAGGATGTCAGAGAGGACTCATTCCAAGCAAAACAAGTGACTTCCTGTTCTGAGGGGGCGGGGCTTTGATGACGTCCGAATATGACCACAGAGGATCGTCGGGCATCGGACAGGGATGACTCATGCCAAGTTTGGTGCATTTCGGTCTTTCAATGTGAAAGTTGTAGCGTTTGGAAATTTATGGCATGAAGCTCAACTTTGAGGCCAAGCCACGCCCCTTTAACATATACGAAAGCGCAAGCTTTTGATAAATTTTACTCCCCAATGTGTTAAGGGCATATGAACCAAGTTTGAAGGCATTCCATCAAAATCCCTAGGAGGAGTTAGTTAAAATGTGCCATTAGAAATGCCCAAAATTAACCCTTTGACCCAAAATGGCCGAAATCCTGTTGAGTTTGGCCCAGGGCTCCATGAGACTTTTTCATAGGTCCTGAGAAGGTACAGATGTTCACTGAGTTTCAGAATTATCAGTCCAAAAATGGCTTGGGGCTGAGGTTTTAAAATATTCTAGGGGGCGCTGTGGAGGCTATTGGCCACTTATCTTGGTTTCCTGTTCAAGGAGTGGATAATGATCGATCGTACTGTTTTTGTGCACCTTGGTTCAAAACTATTGAATTTAGAGCCAAACGTATGGCGATGGCATTATGTCTTACTTCGCCACGCCGCGCCGCCCACATGCTCCACCCAAAACTGTCAGTGTTGGAAAGCAAGTTACACCAAGATGTCTTCAGTCACTGGACACACTATCATGCTGATCATGTAACAGGGGTCAGATAGGGATTGTTCAACGTAAAACTTTACACTTCCTGTTGTCAGGGGGCATGGCTTAAGTGATGTCAGGATTTGACCATTCAGTCTTGCAGGGGACCGGATGTGGATCAATTACTGAAGGTTTCATGTCTCAGACAGTTTTCATGTAGGAGCTATTAGCGTTTTGTTTTTCATGGTGAGATGTCAAACTTTGAGGTCGGGCCCCGCCCCTTCAGCATGCTCCGAAACGAACCGTTTAGATAATTTTGCGTACCCCATGCCTTTTGACCAAAATGGCCAAGTTTGAACCCGACTGAGCGAAATCCCTAGGAGGAGTTTGTTCAAATGTGGAGGCTGTAAACCGCCAAAAAGGTGTTAAAATTGGCCCGGCATTCCAAAATGGCCACCTTCCTATTTATCGTACAACATTGGTGCCAGAGGGTTTCTGTGCATCTTGGGTAATTGGACAACTTACTAAATTTCATGTTTCTACGACAAACTAAGGTTAATGCGGATGGTATTTTGAAAATTTCTAGGTGGCGCTCTTGAGTCGCTTCTGTTGCAATTTTTGCCACGCCCTTAAAATACGTAATTTTTCACCTGTCCTGATGCGTCCACCAAATTTTGTGACTTTTGGGATATGTTAAGGCCTTCAAAACGGCAAATCATTTGGCGGAAAAAATTGCAGCTTGGGCCTGAAGAGAGCAATGGTGTTTCTCTGCTCGGGCCTAATTATGTGTGGGAAAAGTGGAGCACCCACACCTGCCTCCACCCTCATTTGCCACACTCTGGATCCTTAAGCAAGGCCCCACCTCTGTTCCCCCAGGCACCCTAGCTGGCAGCTCTTTGCTCCACACAGAGGCTGTGGTAGCTCAGTGGTCTGTGGTTGATCAGGAAGGACATACTGTGTGCAAACAATCACCAAGTCTTTGTGCGAGTTAGTTCTCTGTGGTGACCCCTAAAGAAGGGAGCAGCCGAAAGAAGTAAAAATTAACAATTAAATAAATAAAGATTAAGATTACCTTTATCCATGGATGATTGAGAGCATCTTGAATTGTCAATCTCTTTCTGGGAGCAAAAAAATATAAATATCAGCTTTAGACGTTTGACCGCAACTCTCGTTTATAAACCATGCTCATTACTTCTTATCTTTTTCCAGCAGCTGGCTGATGAACGTCTTGGCCAGCTCACTGGTGTGACCAAAGAACTCCTCGTCAAACTCATAATTTACAGCTGAGATGTTGCCCAGGGTGTCCTGTTTGGTCTCTCCCAGGAATGGAGATGCTCCGCTCAACCTGAACCAAAATAAACATCAGTGTTTGCTCTCAAACTGCAGTTACAGACCTTCTGTTTGTGCTCGTAGATCACTTACAAGATGTAGGTGATCACGCCGATGCTCCACATGTCTACTTCCAGTCCCAGTGGCTCATAGTTGACTATTTCTGGAGCTTCAGAGGCCAACGAGACAGAAATACAAGTGTTTCAGCACATTTGTTAACCCCAGCTTGGGAGAGAAAAAAACATGAGCTAAAACAAGTTATGTTAGCGATAAAAACAAAATAAATACATAAAAAAAACTATAATACTTAATTTTTCACCAGTCCTCATGCGTCCGGCAAATTTGGTGACTATTGGGATATGTTAAGGCCCCCAAAATGGCAATTCACTTGGCGGAAAAAATTGCAGCTCGGGCTTGAACAGTGTGATTACAATAGGCCTTTGCAGCACTTTGCTGCTCGAGCCTAAAAATGATGACACAGTCTATTAAATATCCTGATGCATGCTCAATAATCCAGGTAGAAAGATCCCCCTCTTACAATGCTGTGATTGCTAGTATCACTCAGCCCTCTGTGAACAGTAAACAGCCATCAGTGTGCTAATGATCCATTGTTAGGCTGATGGTCCTTCTTGAGCATGTGATAAGCTGGTTTTGGTTGTCAGCAGCAAAACTGGTTGATCCACTCTGAGAAGGTGCTATTTAAGAGTCTGAGCTGAATACAGCTCCTCAGACTGAGGAAGTCTCTTGGATGAGAGACGAAACGTTTCTACATTTTTCGTTGATTTGCTTTGTTTTTTTTTTTTTGAATGTCCAGAGGACCAGATTTAACTTTTTTAGACAGTCTATTAAACTTGAACCTTACATTTTTTGTCAGATGATATATTATTTGAGCTGAACCAGATTTTGGGTGCGTAATTAGTGAACACTTGTAGACACAATGGTATTGCTTTGTAACTTTTGACTCCAGTGTGCCCCCTACATTATTGCAACAGTTATATTGCAGTGAAATATCATCCAATATGTAACAGATTTATTGTGCGTGATCAGTGAGAACTTATAAACACATTGGTATTGTTCTTTAACATTTGACTCAAGTGCGCACCCTACATTATTCCAACAGGTATATCTCAGTGATACATCATTCGATCTGAACCACATTTTTTATGCATAATAAGTGAGCACGTCTAGACACATTGATATTGTGGTTTAACATATGACTCAAGTGCGCCCCCTAGATTATTTAATCAGTTATATCTCAGTGATATATCATCCAATCTATGCCAGATTTTGGGTACGTCCTTAGTGAGCACTTCTACATTCACTGGTATTGTTGTTTAGCTTTTGACTCCAGTGTGCTCCCTAGATTATTCCAACAGTTATATTGCAGTGAAATATCATCCAATATGTAGATGAACATCTGCTGTGATATATTCATAAATTAAACGGATTCTTTCATTTTTCTGGA